TCTAAATAATTACCACTATCCCGGACTCTTCTTTCGTCAATCGCAATTATTCAAAAAGAGCGTTGACCTTTTCGGCCTTTGAGACTTAAACGAATTTTAACCATTTTTATTATATTTTAATTTTATAATTTTTCGGCTAATGACTTGGTTATTTTTTCACCAATCATTTCCAAAACTTCGGCTCATAAAATTTCTTTTTCTAGTTTTTCAGTTAACTCTTTTTTAGGCTTGGTAATGGGATGTTTAGGTTCAAACAGGGAGCAACAATCTTCATATTTACTCAATGAAAGTTCATAAGTGCCGATTCTTTTTGCCTCTCCAATTATTTCTTCTTTGTCTCAACTAATTAGGGGACGGAAAATAATTAAAGAGCTTACTTGCGAAATCACGCTTAAACTTTCAATGGTCTGCGAAGCCACCTGGGCTAAGGCATCACCAGTGGCGAGGGCGGCAATTGCCAATTTTTCGGCTAAAAAACAAGCACAACGAATAAACATTCGTTTTAAAATGATTAGGCGGTATTTTGCTTGGCTAATATGGCTAATTTCGGTGAAAAGGGGTTGAGTATCAACTAAATAAACTTGATTAGAAAAGTTATTATAAGGACTTAATTTTTCACTAAGGTCAAATATTTTTTTTTGGTCTTCCTTTTGATGGTAAAAATGTAAATAAATAACTTCTAAACCTCTTTTCATTAATTGGTAAGCGGCTACTGGTGAGTCTATTCCACCACTCAAAAGTAATAGAACCCTCCCTGAACTGCCTACCGGCAAGCCCCCCAGACCTTTTATTTTCTCCGTAAAAAAAAGGATAAAACCATGGTAAATTCGAATATAAAAAATCTTTTGCGGATCGTTTAAACTGACTTTTAAGCCTTGCTCTTTGACTACAATTTCCCCTAATTCTTTTTGTAAGGTTAAGGAGTTTTTGAAAAAGGTTTTATCACTCCGACTAATGACAAATTTAAAAGTAGCAGAATTAACTTCGTAATAATCATTAATCCTTCTAACAAAGTCGTAAAGTTTTTCACCATCATTTTCTAACTGATAAGCCAAATAAAAAACGCTAATCCCAAACACCTTGCTGAGAGAAGAAGACATTTTTGATAAATCTTCATCGTCCTTGGTTGTGATTATTAATTGGTCGTTTAATCTTCTAAGGTTAAAGTTGAAAAAATTATTTTTTTGGAAAGTTAAACTAATATTAGCAACTAATTTTTGCACGAAATCATTCCGGTTTTTTCCCTTCAAAAATAACTCTCCATAACGAATAACTAGACATTTATTTTTCATTAGCCGAGAGAATTTATCCAAGAGCTTTCTTATTTTTTTGAACGATTAATGATTTTTTCCTCGTCAAAATTTCTTTTTTACCAATCAGGTAGTTTTTTATTTTTTTTCGACATCGCAAAGTGAAATAAACTATTGAACTAAATAAACTAAATCAAAAAAGGACTAAAATAATCTTTCAGACGAAGCGATAGTTACGGTCAATCCCTAGTTTTTCCGACATTTTTTTAGAACTAAGAAAGTCCATCACCCACCTCGCTTTGAAGTTTTTAAAATATTGCTTATCGCCAAGCTTACTTCGGAGATAACTATAAGTGAAGTAAAGGGTGGGTTGAATTAGGCTAAGCAAAATAGTTAATTTTAGTTTCTTTTTCAACAAGTCCATTCGCTCATGACGGAAAAATCACCCAATAAAATAGACCGGAACAACAAAATGTCAGAGGGGTGAGTAAAGTCACCATTGAATTACTTTGCCAACTTGCATTTCCCCAATTTTATGGCTGGGAATAGGAACCAGTTTGATGGTTCGGCTCGTAATTCCCCAATAAGCAGTTAAAGCCGTAACCAATCAAATAATCAGACCCAGTCCATAAATTACCATCGTAATCAAATTACTAATCATGGTTATCAGCGAAAAGACCTGGGCAAAATAGGTGTTAGCCTGGGGTCGCCTTACTTTCCAAAAAATAAAGG